GTTTAAAATGCAACAAAACAGATTCAGATCACATTGCAGAAAAGACTCCTAATTGTGATAGCATTAGGACAATGGGACAAACTGTGTAGGGGAGCTGTGGAATGTCCTTCATTCCACAGCATTGGAGATCTTTAAGAAGAAACTGGATAGCTTCTTTCTGGGATGGTTTAGAAATGACAAATCCTGTACCTGTCCTGTGATTTCTATGAGCTTTCACTAACATAGAAAAGTTTCTGATGGAAACCCAGCCTGGCATTGGCTTAAGAGTAAACCGTTAGAATGACCACAATGCCTCATTTCCAGGTTGGACACGTATGGAACAAGACTGTGAGGGCAGGCTCTGGTTCCTGGTGGTGTTCTCAGGACCACCACAGAACCAGTATAGACATACCTTCTGAGACCCACCAGCTGGATTTGACTTCTGGAAGCAGCTCAGGGAGCTCCTCATACTTGGGGCAGCCAATGGTTCCATTTTATTTGGAAAAGTGTAGTGGAATTGGTTTGATTCCCCTCTCCATGCCCAAAAAAGTTTTCTGAATTTCCTTTCCATGAAAATTTACCTTTCATTCAGCATCTAAATACAAGGGTTTGTTTGTTTTTTTTGAAATGTTGGAACTTCCCACAGCAGAGATTCCAATGTTTGAAAAAACAGAACAGAAACTATTTGTAACCACATAATTGTGATATGTCTATTCTCTGCATATGTTCTTGTGATTGCTCACATGGGAAATGAATAAAGAGTGGCAAATACCACCAAAGTCAATTCCTGGCTTTCATTCAAACAATTGTGAATAATTTTGTAGTATTCCTCATGCTGCAAGTGTAATTGGAAGTGCAGTTGAACCCAAAGCAATTAAATTATGGCTCTATTACAGCCCTCAAAGTATAAAAACAACTTTTTTTTCTAGGTTTGTTATGCAAAAGTGGCCAATAGCTTGAAGGTGGATACTGTATGTAGGTAGGAATTTAGATAAAGCCTCTCTCTAGTCAGATGTATGTAGTGAGAGAGAGAATAACTATATACTCCAGGGTCCAAAGATACTGTTACCTGCAATGGTTTACAATGTTTCCTTGCAGGTTTTTTTAAACATTCTGTGCTGCTTGATTGATGTAAGAATACAATTTCTTTGGGATGCTTCCTTGTAAAAGTGAATGCAAGTGAGAGCTCAGCAATCTGGGATAATTTATATATGCAAAGGTATAATGTAGGATTTAGAGTAAGTGGCTATATAGGGGAGGGAGGGGGGATCTGTACACTGTAAAGCTGCTCAGAAAATGGTATGCATGTTCCCTGTGCACTGTGGAGGGGCAGGGGGCAGTTAAAACTTTTCTCATTTGTCAAAAATTTGGAATGAACTACAAGCTTTTTATTTTATTTTGTTTCTTTCACCATTACATCCCAAAAGTGAGTGGGGAGAAAATACAAGAAGTAAGAACATTAAACCATATTTTGTTTTTTTTCCATGACCAAGGATATAAAACCCCTTTTTTTTTTTTTTTTTTTTTTTTTTTTTTTTTT